TTTGATTTTCAATTCAATGTAGAGATATAGATAGGTTTTAATACAAAAGTAGAACTTTAAATTTGTGTAATTTATTATTAGAAATTTGAAATAAGACTTCCCTRCTAAATCAATTATCGGTAATGTTAAGGTTTTAATATTTTTACTGAATTCTTTATAATTGAATTTTTAATTATTTAATATTGTGTATCTTATACATCATGTAAGTACTCTATTCCATTTAAGAATTATCTAAGTTGAAAATTAATTTGCGTGTGCTCGTATAATAGTTAATATTAAAACTACCCAGGAGTCAATAGGTCGTGGAGTCTGTCATTTTTTATGTGAAAYATAGTGTATCTTGATTGAAAATAGAGTATAGTAATACACCTAGATAATAGCTCAAAATATTAATTGAGATTATAAAAATTGCATAATAATAATATGTTAAATATTAACCATAATTTATTTTCATTTTTATTCTTTATTCAGCTTAACGATCCTTGTATACTTTTAGGACCGAAGCTTTCACAATCAATCCTCTCCATCATTCCCAATGTAATACCATTTTAATTGATTAATTGCTGTCCACTATCTTTCTCTACTATACCTTCCTGTTAATAATCTGTTCTTGTGGTTTTAGTATGCCATTTTTTGCTTTCCAAACATGTTCAAACCATTTAAATCTCTTGATACTTATGTATGATTGTGTATTTGGTTTTTCATACAGGTCATAATTTGTCATTTTAAATTGACTTAACTCTGTATTGTACACTGAACTGAAAATGTTTCTTTACACTTTTCTTTTGAGTCTTTTTAGACTATTGTTACCATCTTTGGTCGTAGACACTGTTTCTCAGACATAGGTGATCAGTCTCTGTTAACTTATATCAATTCCTATATAATACATATTACCCCATTTAAAATATATCATTAAACATTATCTTAAATAATCCATTCCAGCAATTACAAGTATACAAACAAAACATATAACCATTCAATGTCCACTATAAAAATATACAATTAATCAACAAAAATGTATACATATTATAAATTATGGACATGGTATTTTTGTTTTGTTTTAAATATTTAATACATCAATTATTTGTAAACTGTTWATAAATAACATATTGCTTACAATTTTATTTCAAAATTATCATAATATACAACAGAGTGTAACAGTACTATTTAACAAATTTAGTCATATTTTTAATGGGAATTTGTTAAATAGTCGTCACATCTTATATATAGGTGTAGACTATTCCTAAGTTCTATCACAATATTAAAAATTTTAATTAATATGTATGTAAAATAGTTTGTAAGTGTATCACTTTTAATGTTATACTTGTATTTTTCTTTCAGAGAAGGTATTATAAAATCCAAATCAGATTTTGAACAAATGACGTCTCAAAGTAATAGTAATTGGTCAACTTGGGCTGTAAATACCCTAGTGAAAAGTCCATTGTCATGGTCTGTTGGTAGAATTAAAGAATCAATTTTATCTCCTACTCCTGCTATTGACGAAAAATCAGAATATATTATTTTACAATTGGTTGAGGTAATACATTTGTTCATAAACCTTTAATGTTTTGCTGTCTTTAAATATTGTATTTTTATTCTAAAGAATCAAGCTAATGAACTATTTAACACCATTTCTGTAAATGATCAATCTCAAATCCTATTCATGGACGATATACAAAACAGACTCCATAAAATGTGGAATGCCGCTGTGTCAATAACTTCTACTGAACTTATAGTACACTCATTGGAAATTYGAAATAAAGTTTTTGTTGAACGTGGTGAACATTTAGTGGCCAACAAAACATTAGTTAAAATCGCAAGTGGTGATAAAGATGTTGAACCAATTTCTGAATTAGAAAAAAATTTTTTTAAATTAAAAGAAACCGAAAAAATATTGATTGGTGAAATAAGCAATATGGATTTTGAAAAAGAATCCTTAGTCAAAGAAGCTAAAAGTTACATAGCCAAAAATATGAAGCCYATTGTAAGTTTCTTAAAAACATTAATTTGTTATACATATTTACTATTGTCAAATGATAATTGAATATTAATCATATTAAATAAATTTAGGCACTAACATACTTGCGAAAAAAGAAAGAAGTTGAAAAACGAATAGAAAAACAGCTGAAGTCTCTTGACAATGTACAAGCTTTAATTTCAAGAATAGAAGAATCTAAATACAATGCTGAAGTAATTAACAATATAGAATAGGTATTATGAATAATTAGTGTTTTTACCAAGCTATAATTATAATTCTATAGGTATTGCAATCGTATGCCCATGGACTTGCAGCTTTAAAACTTTCATCTAAAGATTCTGGTCTCACTATTGATAATGTAGATGAAACAATGGCAGAATTAGCAGAAGTAATTACAATGCCATAATCAAATAATATTATTATCTTTTTTAATCATTATTATTATAGGTCATAGACGAACACAAAGATATGCAATCGGCAATGGGTAGTTTAGTCGATGTTAAACAAAAGTATAACGAACAAGAATTAGAAGATGAACTGGCTGACCTTTTGAGTAAGGATGAACCAACCACATTAAACACAGGAAAATATCACATTCCAGGTAGCGTTTTAGTAGGATGTAATATGTCAATAGCATTATTGAATGAAAAACAATTTTTACAGACCTACCAAATGTACCTGACAACAGTTTGGAAGGCGAAGAATTGGACCTCGACCGGAGATTTCAGTTGTTGAGAGAACATTAAGTAAATTAATCAAGAAGATAAACGATTCTAAATAAATACAATATATTCATGTGTATCATAATTTTATATATTTACTTACATTATAAATAATTTTAGCCAAACTGCTAATAATTTACAAATGTTATTGTGGTAATTTGCTATTTTTTTTTTTTACAAGAAAAAAAATACATTGTTGATAAAATATACTCACATTTTTAAAAAATTAAAAATAAGTTTAAATATTTTTCATGACTCTCTGATTTCCATTTGATTAAAATCTAGGYAAAATGGTTAAGGTTATGTATTAATTTCAWTATTATATTCTAAGAACACATGTCAATACCATCTACTTACAATCATACATTTTTGTCAACTAGTTCTACCTAATTAAAAATTTGTAAGATTATTAAAGCTATATTCTCAATAAATTTCAAACAATCAACCTTTAAATCAATAGTCTGTTGTGTTTCATAACTATATCAATCTAAGTTTGCTAGAAGTAGAGTTATATAATTTTAACTAAAAGCATTTTAAAACCTGAACTCTTCAAGTCTGCATTTAACATATATTTTATATTTAACTTGAAAGTATCTGTGAGGTGTTAGTGGCTTTTTTCTATACAACTACAGCTTGTACATTTAAACCTACAATTTTATCCCTATTTAATACAATGTTATTTACAATTTATATTTGTTGGTTCAGTTAATAACTTGTGTCTAAATTGTTKTTATAATATCAGTTAAATAACAGTTATGTTTAAGGATAATACTAGAATATGATTAATCCTAAGTCAAATCAGCCTTTTTGGTATTGCCCTTATTTATACTTAATGATTAACATATTTTAAATATTGGTGTGAATGAATCGTTAAATAAATAAATCCAAACACTAGTGAAGTGGTACTAATCACACTGTTCTGAAATGTGGGAAGGATCTACGGTCTATGGTTACATTATTTTGGTTTAATATATTAATTGAGGGTACGGGTCATTAAAAAGAGTAAAAATGTTTTCCAACACATACTAACATTGCAGGAAATTCCCAATAGTGAATAAGCAGGATTAGATTTAGATTTTATGAAGAAATTCAATGTCTAAAAATACGAAAAAAAAAAACAATGATTAAAATGTGCAAACCTAAATTAGGATAGTCAAATGTGATTGCTAACTGTTGAACAATAAAAAAAACCAAACATTTGTGAGAAACGCCCACAAAGAAAAATTAATAATATAATACTATTTTTTAAAATAATATTTATAATCTCATTTACAAATATAATAATCCATAACTAAAATGAATACAAATGTAGTACTTTGATTTAGTTTTTCTGTAAGATTGGTTTTATTCTACAAGAGAACCCTATATATTTTTTTTTTGTTATACACCTAAATATTATTATTTATTATTATAGATTACAAAATAAGTAAACTACGAATTAAAATTTATAATAACTGTTGCAATACAATTCACAACTTATTAAAAAAAAACCTTGTATGTATTAGATATTAAAGCTTCTATTTATGCTATTTTTTTTTACAATTAAAAAAAATATATATATATAAAATACAAATATAAATTAGGCTAAAAGTTTAAAACAAAGAAACTACCTATCTAAGGTGTCCCACACAAAAGCAATTCAATAAGTCACAAAATCCTAAGGCCACTCCTGTAGATAAATTATACTTTAATATAAGACGTAGTACAAAATACAATTTGTATACTATCACATGGTTGCTTAAACATTTGTACTCCACCCAAAGATTGATGTATACATATTAAGAATATTTTGTAAATGTTGGTGGTTTCCAAAGATCCAGAAGTAACTAGACCAATGAATGGCAAATAAAGCTTTATAGTTTAGAATTGTCTTGTTCACGATAAGGAAGCATTAAAAATACATATTTGTGGACATAGAAAAATGTACACTAAAMATTTTTTTTTCCTAATATACTTATAATTTGTAGCAGTTGAGCAAATTTAATAAATAAAATGAATATGCAACCGTGATTTTGCAGTGATGAATCAATTATTGATGTCTGATTAAAGTATTTCCTAACAAAAATTTATGTAAAGCTTGAAGAAAAAATAGTTGATTTGAGTTGTACAACAATATCATTAGAACAAAAGTCAAAAATATAACTATCTACACAAAATATTAAAGTTATATAATATTAAAACTATGTATATAATAATTATTTTACATCTAAAAAGATTTTAAAAGGATGTAACAAGGATCTTTGTTAAATAATCAGACATATCCGTTTCTGAAAAGTAGTACAAAAAAGTAAATTAAAGTATGAATAGAACATTGAGAATTTAATTTATATAAGAATATAAATTAATTTAATAAAAGGATTCTTGAAGTCCGTTGAACTTAAATTAAGTCTTTAAAAAAAAAAAAAAATATTTTATAATTATTAATATCATAACCCAAGTAATCCAAAACAAAATTATAATCATAATAAGAATAACTTGCGTTAATACTCATGCATCACCCTGTATTACACACTGTAATATACTTTTTTGCATTTTATTATTGGAGTATTAAAAAAATAATAAAGGGAAACACAATATTGAAATGTTAAAAAATATAAATATATATTTTTAAATTTAATGGAATTATGATTATTTGTTTTTACTTTTGAATAAAAAGATAACATAAAGTAAAGGAAATAATTATGTTTAAAATAATAATAGAATTCTTCTTTTTTCAACATGCTTAAGCTAAAATGAACTGTACTTATTTTAAGTTGCCCTAAATATTCAATGGGTATACTTTTAAATATTGAACATCCTAATAATCATCAATGTCATAAAGTTCATTCGGATCCAGATCATCACACTGCATACTTTGGAAATCAACTTTATAACGTAATAATCCTGAAAATGATAATAAAAAACATTATTTAGTAAAGAATACACCAATAAAGTATAAGAAAAACATTTTAAGAAATAAGAAACAACCAATAGAAATATATTATTATCAAAATTAATACTACATTGATCACACAAATTTCAAAATGTTAATGGGTATATAATATACAGAGTGATCCATTTAAGCAGATACACTAATTATTTCGAAAAGTATTAATTTTTTTAAAGCTTTTAAGTTAATAATTTTCTAAAATTTTTCACTCTTATATTTATTGATGAAACCACTATCACCTTTTGATTTTCAAATGGTAACAAACAATAAAAATATCATGAATAAAACCATTTTTTTATGAATTTAGGTGTTAACATTTTTATATTTCGTTGATTGGTTTGCGAAATACAACTTCTCAACGTGTTGATAGTTTTTACTATTTTTCCAATAATTGTAAAGACCACGAGCAAGTGATAAATTCGATATCGTTGAATCCAAGGTAACAAAATAAATCACAATCAATTAAACTATATAAATAATATTGTACTTTGAATCCTAATCATTTATTAGCTTATCAACTWGAATAGTTCTCAATATTCTTATCTATTAAGTTGAACGGTATCAAATTTATCAGTTATAGCTCCTAATCTTTACAAATGAAGAAGTAGTATAAACAATGATGCATTTAACAACTATAACACTTCCTTCAACCACCAATCCTTTGAAGAGCTGTATCTTGCAAATCAATCAACGAAGAATAAAAATGCTAACCCGTAAAATCATAATAAAAATGGTAATATTAATTCATGATATTTTTATTAAATTTTGTTACCATTTGAAAATCAAAAGTTAAAAGTGGTTTCACCAACAAGGGTGAAAACATTTAAATATTATACGGTTTCAGAAAAACAAAACCCATTAGCTTAAAAAAAATTTTTTTTTAATTAATACTTTTTGAGATAATAMAATTAGTGTTCTCACTTAAATGGATCATCCTGTATAAATGACTTAACATATTTGCACCAATTTTTCTATTTTATTCTTTTAAATATAGCTTATTAATGTGATCAATGTACAGAAAATATGAATACAATAATAATAAAATTAATTATTGGATATTTACAATATTGAATGTTTTCTTTAAAAGCAAGATACAAAATAATAATTAAAAAATTAAATATAAAAATTAAGCATAAAACACTCAAAGTAATATTACCAAGTCCAAAAAGACTTAACCTACATATAGAATCATTTTTATTTAAAAAAAAAAAAACAAAATCTACTAACATATTTTTAATATTATTATTTTAATAAAGCTCAAACATAAAATAAAACTTTAAATGTATAGCAATTAATATCAACACATGTGATATACTACTCCATTCATCTAAATGTAAAATACTTATTGATATAAACTGTTATTCTGTTTTTGCCTAACATATGGGAAACAAATTAATTTAGACGTCTTTAGTTTCCAACATACCAATTAATCTAATAAAGTGATAAAAATGTTGAAGAAATATTTAAATTTTTTAGTTATGTCTACTKAATATTGCCTTTCCAGCATAGTTTATATTATCCCCCCTAAATTATAATAACATTAATTATTATATAAATATTATAAAACTAATAATTGTTCATATTTTAATTTTGGGAGAAATAAAAATACAAATTTGGTAAAGGTTGATCTCACTCAGTGGCGTGGCAAAGGATATTTTTTGGGGCAACCGCCCCTAATAAAATTCAATTGGGTAGGTCACCTAGTGGTGATATTGAATAGGTATAAACACTAAGAACAGTAAGAACACTATGAACAAGATATATATATATATATATATAATTATGAACTACCTAGAATTTTAACACGTTGATGGACACGCCATGCMATAGAATTCTATGTGGATTGGTAAGTACAATTTATTAAGGCACGTAATATAGGCATTATCATTCAAATARATATTGAAAGTCATTAAAATTCCTAAAACTGTTACCTACCTAAAGTCCTAAAATATAAGTTTATTTAAGTCTGATGGTAAATAATATTATATTTTACCCTAATGACATTACACTGCAGTATAATATTTTACAATTCTTACCGAGATTCTCACTCAAGTAGACTTAATGAAAAGTTTAATCTATTTCAGAATGTATGATAAAAATAGAACACTACCATATACCTATGTTGCATGTGTGTTAAATAAAAACAGAACATCACCTCTTCTAATCATATTAATACTTATAAAATGTATTAACTCTTATAAAAATGTGCTTTGAGTTCAAATATGAAAATTAATTTTGAGCAATCGATAAAAACATTTTAATGGAAAAACTACAAACATCAAAACTATTCCAAAATTGTAGCTGTAACATATAAGAACTTGAAATTATAATTATGAAAAATATACAACTGATAAATAATATATTAAAAACTATTAAAACGATAAAAGATCTTGTTTATTTTAAATAATTAATTATGATATGAACTTTTATTAAATTATAATATTTTTAAACTGTTTTTAAAATGATGTCACTACCTATTAAAAAATAACTAAAAAATATGTTTTACAGAAAACTGAAGGTTCATATACATACGAAATGTTTTGACCAAATCAAAATAAATTGTATTTTATAAAATTTAATCATCATCAACTAAAAAGCATACTGACATTTTGATTTCAATACAAAAATATAAATTAATGTTCTAGGTAATAAAAAGTAATAAAAATTGCATTTAATTATGCATGCATTGAAATTAAGTCATAATACAAATGTACTCATGCATATAAAAGAACACACATCAGTACTTGTTAATTGTAAATGAAGCTACCTTAGGTTAGTAAATATAGTTAGTAATCATCAAGATTCACATCGTCCAATGGCTCATCCGCTTGCAAGGACTGAAAATCAACCTTGTAGCGGAGTATGCCTGTCAATAAATTTAAATTTTATACTTATAGACCTAAATATTAATGAGTCCAATCATAATTTAAAAATAATATTAATTATTAAAGCTTATTAATCACTAAATTATAAATAATTCATTATTAAGTATACATCTTAAAAGTATGAAAATACTTTTTAACTCCATTGTTAATACAAATTATAAATATTTTTTTTATTTATATAATTACTCACCTCCTATGCCACCAAATCCTCTAACAAATTGTGATCCTTCTTGTGATTTATCTGTGATTATTTCTAAGGTAGCTCCGAAAATTTTATAATTGTTTGCTAACCATTCCAAAAGTGGCTGACACTCAACTAATTCCAATTCAACTCCGGTCTACAACATAGTACATTTAAAATTATTTGAATATTWKTTATTATTATCAATTGATTTGGATTAAGAGGACGTTATACCCACACATATGTTGTCTCCATTTTACAAGTGCGTAAAATAGCAAATGTTATRCTCAATAGAATACTTAGATATGTTAGTTAAAAAATTAAGAAGTGAATTGACCTCTCATAAAATTTAATACTAAGATCATTATCTAAGACATATTTTAAACTTTTTATAAAATTTTAATTTTAAAGCTTATGAGATGCCTTAAATTGACTTTAAATTTTATGAGAAGTCAATTCACTCTATTTTTTTAACTAATGGAACTTAATTCGATCTGTTGAACATACGATTTGCTATGTTATGCACTTGTAAGACAGAGACAACAAATGTCAGTAGAGTCCTCTCAACTGAACATACATCTTTCTCTGTGAAATGTGATTTATCTTTTTCTTGTTCTGGGGTCAAATGTAATATTTTTTCTTCAGCTGTTGTGTGGTTCTTTAGGACATATCTCTGAATGTCTAGATTCTCCCAACATATTAATGTTTCAACAGATCCAAGTTCTAGAGCTTTTAACGTATCTTCAACTCCAAAACAGTATTTTCCAGTATCTTGACTGATTTCATCAAAATAACGTCCTAAAAAAAATTTAAATCATAACTCAAATTAAATTATTTATTTATCATAATTAAACTAAATAGCAATGATTAGAGTTAACAATTTATAAAAACATATTAGTTATTTACGCCATTTGTTTGCATATTATATGACACTTAAGACATTAACAGTTTAGAGAAAAGTAGGTTTAAGGCAKATTTTTACCTATTAATTTTTTTTCTTGGATAAATTTAACATTTTGTAATGATTCAGCAGCTAATTCAATCGCTTGATTAAAACCATTTTCACCTCCATAAGATACATCAACTAATTTAATAATTTTAGCTTGTAATCGCTAAAACAAAATTATCATTATTATTATTACATATTTTACCAAAGTACTGATAAATAGAAGTTAAATATACTTACAGGATCAAACATATCAGATTGACTAAGCTCTGTTTTAAAGTCTGCACTACCAGCCAATATTAATCCAGCTATATTAGGTTTGTCATTTGTAATAAACAGCTGAGTAGCTACCTCTGCTACTTTACGTACGTAATTGTGTCGTTTTTCCATACGTAAACGGGCAAAACGTAAAGCAGATTGACCTCCTCTGCCGTGCTTTTTCGGTAAGTCAACAGTAAATTTATGAAGAACCTAAAAATTAGTTTTATTATWAAAATTAATGAATATATAATGCAAAATTAAAAGCTAATCAAACCTCTCTGGTGTTTCCTTGTAAAGTACCAAATAATGCACCATTACCATCCATCACAATGAAACCAAATTTATTATCATCTGCTAATAATGCTGTGAGTGCTTCTGTATGAAACTAAAATATAAATTCATTATTAAAAGGTACTCAATAGATATAAATAAAATTAATGTGTTCTTGGGTACACAGTTATCATGTTTACCTTATTATCACAAAGGTATAAAGAAGTATTAATTGGTTTGAATGGCTCAAAATCAATATTGACTTTTTTTTCTTTGCCTTCCTCAGTCACAATGGTACCACAATAAACTACTAATCCATTAGGTGGAACTAATAAATAAAACACAGAACATAATTAATAAATGAGACACTATAATAACAATTTAAGAAAATCACCTTTAGTGTAAAGCTTTAATCTTTGCTGTACTGATGTAATAGCACCCAATACTGATAATCTGTTTACACGTGACTTGATGTTTGATGCAGTACCATATTCATCAGCCAACATTTTACTCACTCTGGAAATCTGATCCTTAGGTGGTATGATTAACGATATCATACTTGTTCCATTACTAATAATAAAAATATTAAATACTTGTAAGTATGGTAATTTGATTATATATGTTTACATATAACCCTTGCTTCAAAAAAACTATCACCCATTGATCTTGAATACTTTTAAAAATGAAATTTTAAAGCATTTAATTTTAATACAAATAGAAACTTATAAAAAGTTGTACTTCATCTGTCAAGGGAATGTGGTTGAGCAACAACTGAAACACACCGTACTCCACTGCAACTATCCAAATCCCTATTTCCTGGCTCCAGTCATAGGTATGTACAAAGTAACCACCTTCTTTTGGTAAACAGAGTAGACTTACCTACTTTCTAATGCAAGTTTTTATAGCATTTTTACAATAGACCAATGATAGAGCAAAAGTATAGACATTAGACACATCATATATCTTTATAAAAATCCTCATTAATATCCTAAAGTAGTCCTACAAAATTGCTTGAACATAAAACCACTAATAAGTATGCTCAATAGTATTGAGTATTTCTTTATTTGTTTTTGTAACTTAGTTGAAGAGTGATTGATAAAATGATAATAATTTAATAGTTTAATTTATGAAATAGGTTTTTTTTTTTCAATATGAGATGAAATTTGAAGGTTTTACAGTTCCTATAAAATACCATCATCAGAAGCAAGTAAGTATCTACTGTTAAGAAAGCATATTTAACCCAATAGCCGTTATAATATGTACCTCTGAYTTACTACACACTAATAGGTAGGTACTCTAAAAAAATATTGTTCATTATAATGGGTATATTTAACAAAACTATGGTTTTTTAACAAGGTGTCACAGAAAAAATATCAAACTCTTATGAAATTTGTCTAGTCAAATTGGGCTTTGAGCTTTCCAGAATCTATGTGTTAAACCAAATTCTTAATGAATAATAAAAGCAATATATAAGAATTGATATTAATTATATATATAAAAAGGTTATAATAATAAAATATGTTGAATAATATGGAAGACATTACGAGCACGGGGACGAGGCAAATGCCAACAGCAATGAATGACATTTAGTCACATTTTATGGATTGAACTGGTACGTTTGAAAACAGTAAACAGTATTTTTACTTTATTTTTACAGAATTTATTTTTATATGCATTAGTGTGGACAGTGGGATATGATTCAATCTCAGTTTTGGTCGATGACTTACAAAAATATAAATACAATATTATTCCATGGGAAACCTTCTCCTCCTCYTCGTTTCCACCAACGACAATCAATCTATCAAACATTGAATTATACACTCGTTGGGCATACCCAATTTTCGTGRGTACGTATGCAACGGAGGCGGCGGCGGCGTCGCCGAAGTAGTGCCCCACGGGTAAGAAGTATGCATAATAATAGGTATGACAATACTGTACAAYAGCGTTACTCACCCTCTGGCCATCTCTAGGCTCTTGATGAGCTTCTTGATCTTCCATATCTCTACGTTGCGATCCGAAGTGGTCTCCTCACCGTTGGTGGTCATTTCGGGTGAGAACGAGGAGTACAGCTAGGGAAAGAACGATACGGGGAAACTGAGTTACCGTGCAAAATATATTATTATACACTGTCGTGTGGTTGAATACTTTATATTTAAAATTTGTTCAATTAGAATGTGTGACTCGGCGAAGTAGGTTAGACAGGCGCGAGGAACACACTCGGTAGCGCACACACACTGACAAAACGTCACACGGCATACGCACACGCACGCAAGGCAGAACGGCAGCAGGCGGGCAGGCAGTCGTGGACACGCGCACACGCACACACACGCGACGCTACGCACGCCACTGGTCGTGAATGATGGGCGGACGGTCGCGGTACGGTGGTGTGGTCCACTGTTCCGTGATAACTGATAAGGTGAGGTGATAACGCGGTTGCAAGGCCGCGGCGTGTTCAGCAGTTCAGCTGTGTATCGGTGTCCGCCGCGTCAGCTGCTGCTGCTGCAGATTTCAGCGGTGACGGGAATTAGTGCCAAGCGGATRCCTCGACTGTTGAGAGATGAGAAATTGAGAATAATTATCACTAATCGTGATGGTCACCGAATGGCAAATATATTTAACAATATACCGGCCGTGGCGACCCCGTTCGTCGTGATGATTAAAMTAATATGTATAATCGTCATTATTGATTATTGTGTTCAGTGTTGTGATAAAAATTATAAAACTATCGAGATAATAGACATCGAACTATGACTTAAAGCTTAGATCATAATTATTATTAATTATTAACAAGTAATTATCTAGGGCTGAAGACTCCTCACAGTCGTTAGGTCTATCAGGGAGTAGAGAATTTCCTTTATTGAAATTTGAGCAAAAATTGTTTTATACTTGAGAGTTGCCCTATGAGCCCTCCCCCCGCGCWCGCGCAAAGTATGACWAAATAGTATGAGTGAATGGCATAGTCAACAATCGAAAATTCGCTCTGCTTTACATCAACACATTTTCGGCATTTTCCGTGTAACTTGTCAATGAGTAGACAACTAGACAAGTAGACTGTATACTGCGGGATGCGCTTAATTGTGTTACGTACCTGTAAAATATGCACGATATACCACGCAATTGTGATATAAAATAAGTATTAACTATGACTAAAACTAATAAGCCATTAATATCAGAAGCATGCAGAGGTCAACAATAGGAACGTGGAAAAATTGTTTTCACACGTATCTTCTCAGAAATGACTGTAGACCCGTGTGAAAGGATACGAAACGGTCAGCATATTAAGTTGAATCACAAGACCGAATGTTGACATGTAACAGGAAAGTCACCACCACTCCCGAGGACCATATTATCGTACATAAAAGAGACGAGGGCAAGAGCTCGTCAGATGGTTCTTAAATGTGAGCTAGACAGTTATGGCTAAACAAGACATTTGAAGGCAGGTTGTAACACCACTCACAGTCTGAGAAAATTACACCTTAGAGTCAGGTCGTCACACCGCTCACCGCACCTTTTAACTATAATTGTATTTYTGAGTTAAATGAAATTAACAACATTATAACTAAATACGTCAAGTGTTCATTTATACGTTGATATATGAATCGACGTCAGTTGGGACGCAAMAATTCAATAATAAATTATATTTTGATTCTACTTAAAAGGATTTTGAATGAAGATATTTTCAACCTCTATTTCTAAGTTTCTATGTGTTACAATAAATTAGTAATTKAATATAACTTAATGTATTAATTTTATCATAATACACGTCAGTAGTAAGTTAGATCAACTATGGCTTATCGCCTGAATAAAATAATGGAAGTAAATGTACGGTAAATTTGAATAATTTGACATATTCATTGTTTTATTAACACACAGTACTCGCACTACCAGCTTGGAAAACGGTGATTACTTTTATTTACAATAATATATTTTATATTTAATAATTCATAAAAAAAAGTGTTATCAGAATATGCATATACTTTATTTTTATAMCGGTATCGTATCAATTGTTTCTTAGTTTTTCACTTAAGTGTTAGTTTAGAAATTTAAAATACCTACTTTAAAATATTTCATCATGTTATATAATTTTTAAATATAAATACCTATCTTCTTGACTTCTTTTATATAATACGATTAGTGATTATAAATATTATAATGACTGTAGTTGTTGATACCTAATTTTTATTAGGTGGTATAATTGGTATATACTATGGAATAAAGCAGGACTTGAGAAACTAAATCGGGAAGAAAAAATACAAAATCGAGAAGAGTAGAATGAGTTGCCGGTAGCGACTAAAAGTTGTTGGCTGCCAAATTGTCAGCAAGAAGAAAACAAAATTGTATGCATCATAGATACTAATTAAATAATTTAAAAATTTATTCAAGTATCAGTGGAATAAAATTGAATTAAAATTGAATCACATTATCCCAAAGCGATGTATTATTTATCCATCTTTCCATCTTGAATAATATCTCAAAAATGGATATGTAAATAACAAACCTCCTTTTAATATATGTTTAGGCAATAGAGTATACAGTATTGCGGTTACTTGCCTTATCAGAAGTGATAAATGGCAAATGTATGAGCAGGTTATCTTCATTCTTCATTGTCATTAGATTAGACGATAGGTATCTTCTGTTTAAAATTTAAAACTTCACTAAATAGTAAATAGTAAATGAAGACCATAAGTATGAATATTGTAATGCAAGATGTAAAATAATATTTTTAAATTTTAATTATCGCACAAGAATAAAAATATTATGTCAAAAAAAAATCGAAAACTCTTTTCTACAAGATCCCAAAAGTATAAAAAGTAAGTACATTTATATAAATCTATTGAATTTAATAATAAAATTTTTATTAAAACTATACATGAAAGTGTGTATTGTTATTGATGTGCAAGTTTATTATTTTTATATTTTAAAAAGTATTAAATTTATAAATCAATATTATATTTATTTTTATTTTTATCATTTAAGTTGTACCTAGTTTTTTAATAACACTATTTAGATTTTTTTACACAATCGAGATCATATTCCTTTGATTAAATATAGACAATTTTAAAAGCGTGAGAGAGTTAATTACAACAGTAAAAATATAACTCATAATGAAATAGAAATAAGGATTAATGCAGTAAAATCACAAAGAATATTTTGCCATGAACATAATGCTGACCTTTAAAAATTGGGATGCTGTTAAAAGCTATGAAATTAAAACTACCATTAAAAATTTCAAGAACTTATAACTTATTCTGGATGAAAAATCTTGATGGTACAGAAGATATTAATTATTATTTCAACATAGTTTATGGATGTATACAAATTACTATCTATAAATAACTTTAAAATTTGGGTACACCTATTTATATTACCAGTCATAAATGATATTATTTTAAATTTCTTATACCTATAAAYTCTTTTTTTATTTTTAGGAGCATAGAAGAATGTACAAATATCATTGCCACTTCTCCGTTTTGGATACACTTTTCAGAAACTATTAAAGTGGAATTAAATGGATCTAATCCATCATCAATCTTGTGCTATGGATTAGGAAATTTTTTTGAAAGCATACAATCTAAATACCAGTTTGGTTTGCTTTTAACAATTAAAAATGAATTTAAAGTGAAGAACTGTTATGTTTATGATCCCCAATTCACAGACGCTGAACGTTCTCATTTAGCTGAGATTGGATGTAATTTACTCTGTGAAAATGAAGAAGGAAAACGGAGTTTGTTACCTGGTACATTTGTGTATATGCCTCATTGTCCAAAACAGCTACTAAATAATTTATTATGGGCAAATTGGAATAAGGAGATACTAACGAGTTGTATAGTCGTTTGTAATAGCATTGACCTAACAGTAACCTCAACTTTTGACCGAATTTTAAATAAGTATGCTTACTATATAAAAAAAATATCTCCATACGTCATAGAAAAAAAATGTTGTGATAATTTTATTTATGATGATGTATTCAAYGATATGGCTCTTCATATATTTCCTAATGATAAATTAAAAGAATTAGAAAATAGTTTTTGGGAACGTGGTGAAGAACCAATATATGAGGATGATGAGCTTATAACAAAATTTAAGTGTATGTCATTCCAATCTTAATATTATAATTCTTTTGATACCTTAAAATAAGTTATTTTTTTTTTTGTTAAAAACCTTGTGATAAAGTTAATACTTATATAAGTACTTAATTCTGACTCTCATTGTATTTTTTCTGATTTTATACCAATCGCCGTTTGTGATGCTACCTTTTCCGATTGTTACTTTTAATATAAGACTAAATTAACTTATTATCAAACTTTAAGTTAAGAACATTGTCTGAGGGTTCTGTCATTGAATAGCCTCCTTCCATATACTAAATCATCTTGTAAATATTTTCCGTACATATCTTATTTGCTTATTTTACATATGTTACAATGTTACATATTGTTAATTTTCTATTTTAAAATAAAAATAAAAGAAAAGAACATTTTCTGTGTTGCTATTGTGGTTTTTTCCAATCTTTTAATTTTTATGTAGTTAATAAGCACTTTTAAATTGTAATAATTTGCTAAGCGTAAATTTGATATATTGAAATCTTGTAGATCAAAGAGAAAAAATAAATTATGTGCTGTAATCTTCTTAGTTAAATTATTTTCTGGTAAGTGTTAATACAAATTTGAAAAAAATAAAATTATAAATAAAATTATTTTTTATTTAAAGCTGAAACTAATCTAGAATTCACAATATTTAATATATTTAATTAAATTTCTCCTGTATTAATCCTTTAACAAATCATTACATTGTATAGCTCAATCATCTTAAATATTAATTTGAACATATTATATAATGTATTTCAGTTACAACATTTTATTTTACATTTGCTTAAAAAATAATTCATATGTTATGTAAAAAAATAGTAATTATTCATATTCTTTTTTAATGAACTTGGCAATAGTGCTTAGCTGCATATTTGTTGTTCCTTCATATATTGGCCCAACCTTACAGTCTCTATAAAATTTTTCCTGGGGATAATCTGTAGTAAAACCAACTCCGCCCATCCAGTCAATACATACGGATGTAATTTTACCGGCAACTTCTAAAAATGTACAATATTAACATAAAAGTATGAAAATAAATTTTTTAAATCTTGATTGATTTAATTTAATAGTTTAATCATTGATTATAGYTGGAAATTAGTAAGTTCATAAATAACATATTAGTATTTTTTCTTCTAAATTTTACCTGAAGCGTAATATTTAGCCATTGCTGCTTCTTTAATGAATGGTAAACCAGCATCTACTAATCTTGCTGTATTGTACACCATTAGCCTAGCCGTTTCAACTTCAGTTACTGCTCGAGCAATTTGATGTTGCATAGACTGTAATAAATAATGATTTGTTTGTATTGTATAATAAATAATTTAATTTAAAATTAATTAAATATGTTGAAACTTACTTGAAAATCAAAAATTTTAGAACCAAATTGTTTTCTTTCCAACGTGTATGGTATTGTATGGTCTAAACACCCTTGTGCTATACCCACCATTTGTGCTCCAATTCCTACCCTCCCTTCATTCAAGAAATTTATTGCTATTTTATAACCTTCACCAATTTCACCGACAATATTATCTTTATGTACCTACATAAACATAATTTCAGTTTATAAACTAATCACATAAAATATAAATTTGCTGATATTATTTTACTTTGACACTATCGAAATGAAGAACGCATGTGCCAGAAGCTCTCATCCCAAGCTTATCTTCTTTCTTACCAACAGAAAATCCTTCTTGTTCTCGTTCTACGATAAAGCATGTAACACCTTTATGACCCTAAAATAATATTAATATTATAATTATTTCAATTGCAGAATATCCTAATAAACTTTCCAATTGAAATTCAAAATAAGCACTTTCTAATAAAAGTTCATAGGTACCTAATATTATTAAAGTTAAAATAGTTGGCAAGAACTTTGAAGTAGGTACTTCCCTGTCATTTATACAGATATATTAACTATAAAGTATAAATTGTTAACCTTGGAAGGATCAGTGTTGGCAAAAACATAAAAAACTCCTGCTATATCAGAATTTGAGATCCAACACTTCGTTCCATTTATGTAGTAGTGGTCTYCGTCTTTTTTTGCCGTGGTTTTTAAAGCAAATGCATCTGATCCTGATGAAGGCTCRGATAAACAAAAACTGCTAACCTAAAATCAAATTTTTKTTATACATTTACTCATTTGTTTTATTATAAAATAGTATCTATTAATGTAGGGTGTGATGGTGTGAGTATTTATGATGTTTGCTCCGGGAAGCAAAAATAAGTTGATAAACACAATATTATAATAATTTGGATGTCTCTGCAGTGATCAAAAGGCAAAAAGCACTCGTRTTTTTCTAAAGCTATTAAAACACATATTTTTAAACATAATATGTTTAGAAAATACAAACAAAATSGTTAGTTGGCTAAACATTTTTACATAACATCGAATTTCGAACGAGTAGTTTATCAAGTACTGTTGTAGCYTGTAGGTGCCCATATAAATAATTGACGAGTTATAAGTTATAGCTTGTATAAGTATAGTTATTAGTTAAAGTATTTCAGTGTGACAGTGTTTATTTAGAATTTAGATAAGCTRAGTGGACTGGTCGGTGGTAAAACTGAACAAGTACATCTGTACTCTGTAGTACCGTACATGAGTTTAAGCCTTTTTAAGAGGACGTTTCACCCGCATGTGTTGTCTCCGCCTTACAAGTGCGTAACATTGCAAAAACTGTTTCGCGCGGGAAAGAACTGAGAAAGATACAGTTAAAACTAAGAAACGAAATTTTCACCACATAAAAAGGAGAATTTTGTCTGTGCAATATCGTHTTTWWTTTTTCGATATCACTTATACAAAAAAAAATTCTTATTGTTTTATAATACATTAATTTTGTGATTTTTAAGCATGAATAACTTTTTTTGTAGTTCTGATATCGGAAAAATAAAAACGATATTGCACAGACAAAATTCTCCTCTTTATGTGGTGAAAATTTCGTTTCTTAGTTATAACTGCATCTTTCTCGGTTCTTTCCCGCGCGWAACAGTTTTTGCAATGTTACGCACTTGTAAGACGGMSACAACACATGCGGGTGAAACGTCCTCTTAAGGGATAAGAGTTAGGAGGTCGTWGGCACCGCTCAAAAGTGCATAGGTACTCATACGATATATTGTTGGTCCACTAGTCCGTCCATCTATGATATACATTCTATTATAAGCAAAATAAACTCGTTTCTACAAAAAAAAAATTGTTTTTGATAATAATAAATGAAAATCTATATCGGCTATATCTATTACCAGTGGCGTATATAGGGGGTTTTGGAGTTTCAACTCCCACAGTCCCACCTCGAAAATAAAAATATGTGTGTTAGAATTATTATTATTAGTTATTCTGTTATTGGGAATCCCGACTCGGATTTCTACCCTCTTCCCCTGAAATCAAATCCTTATTTATACACCATTACTTAATACTTATAAAAGTATTCAACAGTAGCCGGCCGGGTAGGTACCTTTGTAGTTTGTACTTATGTAAAAATATGTACTTTTCATGTAGGTACATATARCATGTATACTTGAAAACCCAATACAGTGATACCTGCACATTAGCAATTATGATGAGTGTGATGACTGATGAACCATTACAGCAAYGATTTTTCCATTTATTAATATTTGTTCAGAGGATATGAAAAAATAATAATATTGTTTGAAGACACTTAGTACATTATACATTTATACCTCATGTAAAATCTACATYTTATACAAATAGTTTACATTCTARTCATTATACTATGTACTAATGTACTATGCTCCTACGCCACACCATCATACCTATTATATTGATAGATAGCACACAAGAATTGCAGCTGCAGACGAGTGAATATTATAATTTATATTATAAATATAATATCCTATGAATATGAAGTATGGACGGAAATCTCAAGACAGGAAGGCAATATTATAAGTTACGACTTAATCTTACTAACACATTATTTGATAAGAGTAGGTCAAAAATCAGTATGATAAAATAGTTAATATTATCAACTTGAGGTATACCGGGTGATTTTTTTATCATTGAACACTCATTATTTCAAAAATTATTTATATAGTTTATGAGTTATAACTTATAAGTATTTAAAGTTTAGATTGACAGAGTGTAGTGGTACGGGATTACCCCGCAAAATGTTTGTCCACTACTCCGCTCGTCTAAACTTTAAATACTTATAACTCATAAAATACTCGTCCTAAATTCGATTTTTATGAATTAAAATACTTAGAAAAATATTCTGCTTTGGAATATGAAATTAAAACTCTATGTTGTCATTCAAAAAAGTAAAAAACTTAAAAATTATAAGGATAAAAAATATTTTAAAATAATTTTTTTTAATGAAAACGTTGGTTTTTGAACAACTTGAAACTATGTAAAAAAATATTTTCAAAAACATTAGTAATTTTTGAAATAATGAGTGTTCCATGATAAAAGAATCACTCGGTATAAATAAATAATTATAATTGTGTTTATTAGTAAAATTAATAATCAACCGCTATGTAATGCTGTACCTACTAATTATACACTTTTCCTTTAAGGCTTTAAACGAATATTACAATAATTGCCAATTAAATTTGAAACATTACCACAATAAAAACTATCCTTTTTACTGAAGTTGTAGCCTTGATAAATTTATAGACATTAGTACCTACCTCTACCTAAGATGAATTATATTATAATATTATGTATGTGATTTATAACCACTCTGTTACTCTGTATAATATTGGGCTGAAACATAAGTACCTAATTTCATAGATATTTATTTGTTATTGCTTTATAGTTTATGTATAGGTACCTACTTATTGAATTTAATTTAATGTGAATTGGCTATTGAATTCAGTCTATCACAAAACTTGGATATTTAGTTAAAAGATTCGTGTACACACATGCTCAGCTCTTGCTAGCGTAGGGATTTTGAATTATAGAATTTTTGGTAAATTATTATTGCAATAATTTTAAAGATAATTTATTAAAATCATGATTTAAGCCTTTTAAGGTACCTATATACTCGTAAAATTTCCTGATATTCTTAATATTCATATGACATTTGGAGAAAAAAATTAGTCTGTGGGAAAAGTAGCTATATACATTCTACCCCTCCAGCAGTACGCACGACAATGACTAGGTAGGTATCTATATCATATAGATATAAAGTATTTAGTAATTAAACTTAAACTTCTAAGGGGCTAGAAAATATTGGTATAGTGTCATCATAATGGAAAAGAAAATTTTCTATGATTAGAAATGAAAACATATAAAGTTATAAAATAACAAATAAAATCAGCTGTAGGTATACTGAAAGACGTTCTAAATAATAAAAAAAAGAAAATAAATAAAATAAATAAAATAAATAAATTAAGTTATAGGTAGCCAGATAGGTTAAATATCTAATCTTATCATCGCGGAGATATGTATTCATATTTTCAGTGGCGTAGCCAGGGGGGTTATTTGATCCCCCACATTGACTTTGATTCGCCTGATAAATGTATAATTTATATACCGTAAACTGTAACAAAATTAGTTTAATATTTATT